TTCGTCTGACTCCATTCTGTTTCAATAGTGGCGACGTGACCTTTGCAATATTACTGGAGGCACTGTCAGAATGGTGGAGGGTGCCCTTTGAGAGCTCGCACAGGAATCGCAGTAGGTCAGACGTGTCAAGTATGTAAAAAAAACTCGTTGGCTAAGCACGGAGCAACATTTTGAGCTTTTGTTTTTGCCCAAAAGGCCTGCGACATCCCATTTTCAGCACGTTTTCGCACCAGCGAAAAATTTATTTGGCCACTGCTTTGTCTGTGTTTTCTCCGATCCTTCTGCCAAATATATCTTATTGCATGCTTGGTAGATAACAGATGGAATGCCAAAATCTCTACTTTGATGCATGTCTTATTCTTGGAAAACGTCATCTCGAAGTTGTGTATCTCGGCGCGCTAGGCAACTACATTCTTCCGGAAGCACTGTTTAACATACAAGTCTATGGGAGGTGCATCTTCTTTCTGAGTTACCTCGAGCACCAACCACAAGAAAGTTTTTGCTGACCCATACCGCTTACCTTTATCACAGAGGTCGGCCCTAAGTACGGCCGGACGTGGTGGTCTCAGTGGAGGGAGGGCGATTCCGTGAGGTATTCGCGAAAATGGCGATGGAGCGGAATCGAACCGCTGGCTACCGAGTGAGATCCACGTAGCACAGCCACTGTGGCATCGCCGCTGTTGGCGAAGATCAAGATATTTGTGCTTGAGCTTGAGCCAACCAGATGGGCGGCGGCATGGGCGGCTGTCGTGGGCTCAGAGTGGTCTACTCTGACACCTTTAAGGCCACTCAACAATTAAGAAAAATGTCCATCAAAAAATGTCACGTGGGGAATTTTCTAGAAGGTCAGTTATAAGCCCCCTGGAATGACCACTACCCCATCCTAGTTTTAATCGGCTTACTACTTATTACCCCATCTAGCATTTGAAATTTTAGCATATTCAGATCCGCAATAAAAAGTTACACTAGACAAGTGCAAAATAAAAAGTGAAACCAAGTAAGCTAATATTTTTAAATTTAATTTTCGCAACTGTCCGAACTTGGCGCGGCACCCCTGTAAATCCTGGGGTACAAAAATTTTTATTGTTACCGATCTGCTTCAAATTTTTGCACGCGAAAGCACAAGGCCGTGAAAATCGTTTTCAAATATATTTAGTTTTTCTAATGTTTCTAAATATTTCTAAATATTTCTAAATATTTCTAAATATTTCTAAATATTTCTAAATATTTCTAAATATTTCTAAATATTTCTAAATATTTCTAAATATTTCTAAATATTTCTAAATATTTCTAAATATTTGCTAAATATTCCTAAATATTTCTAAATGTTTCTAAATATTTGCTAAATATTTCTAAATATTTCTAAATATTTCTAAATATTTCTAAATGTTTCTAAATATTTCTAAATGTTTCTAAATGTTTCTAAATATTTCTAAATATTTCTAAATATTTCTAAATATTTCTAAATATTTCTAAATGTTTCTAAATATTTCTAAATATTTCTAAATATTTCTAAATATTTCTAAATGTTTCTAAATATTTCTAAATATTTCTAAATATTTCTAAATATTTCTAAATGTTTCTAAATATTTCTAAATATTTCTAAATATTTCTAAATATTTCTAAATATTTCTAAATGTTTCTAAATGTTTCTAAATATTTCTAAATATTTCTAAATATTTCTAAATGTTTCTAAATATTTCTAAATATTTCTAAATGTTTCTAAATATTTCTAAATATTTCTAAATATTTCTAAATATTTCTAAATGTTTCTAAATATTTCTAAATATTTCTAAATGTTTCTAAATATTTCTAAAAAATTTCTAAATATTTCTAAATATTTCTAAATATTTCTAAATGTTTAAATCTTCATAATGTTTTCTACATAATGTGAATGTAGTGTAGTGGCTAGTGGCTACGCGAGCTAGCGCATATTTCTAAATCATATGTTATTGAGCACTATCTGTAGATGTTTTGCAGTTTTCTTTGCTCTTCCATAACCCATAACATAATCATAACTAGCAACGCGCTAGCGCGACCGTTTCTCGTAGGTTAAACCGCAGTGCTCGGATAATGTTCTAAACTCACATACATGTGTGGTTATTTTGCTGTTCAGTCTGTTCGTTATCAATCAATGAACGTTACTGACTTGTGAGAACTAGGCCGATCAATAAATCTTCGTCTAAGACTGCAGGAAAACGGCGTTTTTCAGTTCAACAACCCAATTTTATCTGGCCCGTTCTTCTTTCTGACTGCCGATTTCGCTTCGAGTGATCAGTTTTCCGCACGCTAGCGTAAACGGATATATGGACGGCAATAAAGAGAATGCAGCGACCGGCCGAGAGCCGGTTAAGCCGCGGCTTAGCCGACAGCTGGCCGGCCGGCTGAGGATTTTTGAAAGCCATAGGCGATTCCAAGCCGGCTAGAGCTTCAGCCGCGGTAAGTTAGCCGGTTAAGAATTTCTGACGGCCGCCAGCCGAAAGGTCACCCGTTAGCCGGCCGCTGCCATCTCTACGGCAATAGGTATACTAACCTCATTTAACTAAAATATTGTTGACACAAGTTAATAAAATAATTCTTCCCCAAAAGAGGAACTGTTTTAGGATCAGAAATGGTTTTATTATATTTTCCGAGCAGGCCCGTCTTTAGCTTTTTGGAGGGCGGTGGCTTAAAGACGGGTCTGGTATATGCCCCTTACTATAGTAATTATAGCAACTACATATATAGTTGTAGTAACTATAGTTGCTATATGCTATACAAGAAACCGCTTCGGCTTCGCCTCCGCGGTTCTTGTTATCCACGGCCGCTTTGAACAAATTATTCCATTTAATTCGTTAGTAAATTCGCTAGCTGCCTTAGTAATTATCGTAAAACTTCTTAGGCAAGAAGTCTCGGTCATTCACTCCTCTAGCAATTTTGTTCACTGCACAGTGGTGGTAGCTGGGTCACTTACTCATGCTAGCAATTTTGTTCACTGAATTTGGTTTCTTTCGAAACCTGGGCCAATTCAAACAAGGTTCGTAATCAGATTTTTCTTTTTAGGCATTTTAACATTGTAATTCGATTTAAAGAAATCCGGTTATTAAAATTCAGCAGGTTTGCAAGAAGCTTCCGCCCAACTTCCGTTCTGGAAGTTTTTATCCAAGTAAGCAACTGGGACTCTTATTATTCTCAAGGTAACCTTGAAAGCTTTACCGAAGCCAGTTTTACCGGAACCGGCATCGGTGGGACGGGTTTAATTAATTTTTTTAAGAAATAAAATGCATGTGACACAGTTTTTGAACATGCTGAATCTAATGGCGTTTACAGTTTTTTTGATTGGGTTCTGGTTTTCCCGATCCAGATGTCTCAGCCTTTTTTGTAGTTATATTATAGATCTTGTTCCTTGATAGCAGACGCTGCAGACCTGTGCAGTTACTGTATTTTTAAATATTTAACATTACGAGAGTTATTTTCGAGTTATCGAGTTATAACGCAACTGTGAAGCGTAGCTCGCTTCTCCGAATACTTAACTCCAACGTCAACTCACACAAAAAGTATATGTATTGGCTATGGTAACGTAATTCGCTGAAGAACTGAAACTCGGATTACGGTCATGAAGAGAGTAACTCGTAGCGTAAGTTTCTTTGCTTTCTTTGCTTTCTTTGCTTTCTTGGCTTTCTTTGATTTCTTTGATTTTTTTATTTCTTTGATTTCTTTGATTTCTTTTGTCTGCGATTTCTGTGATTTCTGTGGTTTCTGGTTTCTTTGGTTTCTTTGGTTATTTATTCGCAATATTGATATCAGCGAGCACCACTCAGTAAACAAAATCAAATAAAAAATTTGTCTTTAATTTCTTGAATTTCTTGCATTTTTGGGATTTCTTTGAATTCTATGATTTCTTTGATTTCTTTGATTTTTTTATTTCTTTGATTTCTTTTGTCTGCGATTTCTGTGATTTCTGTGGTTTCTGGTTTCTTTGGTTTCTTTGGTTATTTATTCGCAATATTGATATCATGAGCACCACTCAGTAAACAAAATCAAATAAAAAATTTGTCTTTAATTTCTTGAATTTCTTGCATTTTTGGGATTTCTTTGAATTCTATGATTTCTTTGATTTCTTTGATTTTTTTATTTCTTTGATTTCTTTTGTCTGCGATTTCTGTGATTTCTGTGGTTTCTGGTTTCTTTGGTTTCTTTGGTTATTTATTCGCAATATTGATATCAGCGAGCACCACTCAGTAAACAAAATCAAATAAAAAATTTGTCTTTGGTTTCTTCAATTTCTTGAATTTCTTGCATTTTTGGGATTTCTTTGAATTCTTTGATTTTTTTCATTTTTTTCATTTCTTTCATTTCTTTCATTTCTTTCATTTCTTTCATTTCTGTCATTCTTCGTTCCTGTTATTTCTGTGATTACTATGGTTTCTGTGATCTTTTTATTTCCTTGATTTCTTAGTTTTCTTAGATTTTTATCTTAATTATTAAGTGCCGAAATAAAAAAAATGCCGAATTGCCGAATGCCGAATTTTTAAATGCCGAAGTGAGCAAATGCCGAAATGAGGAAATGCCGAAATGTCCATATTGCAAAATGCCCATATGCCGAAATATTTATGTACCGAAATTTCCATGTGCCGAAATTTCCATATGGGCATATGGGCATTTCGGCACATGAAAATTTCGGCATATCGGCATTTCAGCTGACACAATGGTCAGACACTAATATATAATGAGACTGATGTCCTTTTTCTTTTGATTCCTGATTATCTGCGTAGCAATACTGTACCGGTAGATCATGTTGAACCACAAAATTTGTATATGGGACAACGGCACTGCCTCTGCTTGTGCATGGGAACTCAGGGGCATCTACACGCTGCCCGTATGATGTGCTGAACGGAAATGCAGCTGATAGCAATCAGTAACCGATTTTGTAGCTCTCAAATTAACTCGTAGCCATGCAACCGAACCGATGCTGCACGGTTCTATAGCGGCTCTACCAAGATTCACACAAAGTTTCAAACAAAATATCTCACTGATAGTGACAACGTGGCCGAAAATGAACAACACCCGCTAGAGCCTTCTCTTGCTGGGAATTATGTTCAGTGTACCGGGATATGTCGTGAACGGCTGCCCCTTGGGCGGTCAGAACCCTGGTAAGCTCTAGATTCACCTTTCGCCCGGCATTACAATTTATGCGCACGCTACGCTAATGACAGCCTTCGCATTTCAGTTCAGCGTATACGTACAGTATTGGAGGCACAGCTGGCAGAAGATCGCATGACCAATCACGTCATCACCCTGACCGACCTCGAAGATGCCATATATCCGACGCCCGATACAGTCAGTTTCCCTGTGGGAAACTGGAAAACGTTTTTCTGTGAGGTTGCCAAGCCGGAACTGGCGGAGCGGGTCGTCTGGCGCCACCATAACGCCACCATCCACGGTAGCGCAGTGCCGCCCTCCCCCAAAGGCCACTACTATCGGCAGACGACCATCGAAAACATCAGCTACCTTTTTATACACAACGTCAGCCGTGGCTCAGGGGGGACCGTGGAGTGTCTAATGCCCTGCGCCGGTGACCTATGCCACCTGCGCACTTACTACCTGCAGTCGGAGCTGCGCGCCCGCGATATCTTCGTCCCTCCGATGCGCAACGTGTCCACGCCGTTGTGGAGCTCCTCCATGACGTGCAACGGGAGCGTCGACTGTAGCCAGACTCAGCCGGTGTCCCTCTTTATCTGGAAGTACGACGGCTACTTCGTGGCGGCGCCGTATTCAGATCTGCTCGGTTGGCCCGTTCCCGGTCTACTCAACGGCTCCGTCACCTTCGACGCGTCAACTCAAGGAGCTCCTGATCCCTATTGCGCCAGCACGCTGACCATCACCATGCGGGAGGAGGCCAGTCCGCGATCTGCGCGGGTGGACTGCTGGATGCGCACTGATGTTCGCAGCCGCGAGTGGCTAGCCCAGTCGGCGCATGTCCACTTCGCGCAGCTGCAGTATTAACCATTGTCCATCGAGATCACACCATCGCAGTACCACCAACACGTGCAAGGTGACAAAGGAGCGTTTAAAATTTTTTGTTAAATGTAGTCGTTCTGGTAGTGGTGCCAGTTGCGGTTATCTACAAATTCATAAATCGCTACGTCTTTATTCCAAGAAATTTGACTCCTAATTCGAGATTCAATTTTTACAGTAACTATCGTTTTTTTAAAAAATAGTTTGTGACATCTAAGTTCACCGAATGTGGTTTTAAAAAAAGTTTGAATCGTCTTCAAAAAACAGTTTGAAATTTGGTACTGTGACATTGTAGAATGCTATGTTTTAGTGAGTTCTAGAAAGGTCAACTATAGCAAGAAATTTCTTTTTAATTTGTGTTGCGAATTCAAAGTACCTAGCATCACAAAATATAATAGTAATTACAAAGTACTGACGCTCTTAAGTACTGCCTCTACGGAACTCATGATCACATCCATATTTCAGAATTTTCAAATTTTTTTAAATATTCCGGGACATTATACTATGTGATTGCAAAGCTATTTGGAAATAGTCATGGAAATACATCCAAAATTTGGGATTTCTTCGTTTTTAAAAACTTATGAACATTTCAAACAAAGTAATTTTTCCAAAGCTGCCAATACCTCTATATTTCAACAAATCTACGTTTAAAAAATGTTGCGGGCAGGAGGTCACGCTCAGGCTCGCAGCGAGAACAATACCTCTCTATAATATAGCATTTCTATGTTTTTGAATATACTTTACGCAATATACTTTCTACGAACTATACGAGGAGGAGCTACCTTGGCCCGATCAAAGGCGCACACACGACCATAATCCGATCACTGTGCCCGCGTGTGTGCACCATGCCCAACCACCCTAGCTGGCAGCGACGTTAACCACTTGCACGCGCATACAACATGGCTGTCATCCTAACGCGGCAGCCCAATTATTAATAAATTTTAGCGGCCGTGAATTGTTTAACAAATTACGGCCACCCATCGTTACGACCTTTCACTGTTTTCGAATGTTAATTTGTTTTGCAAGATCGAAATTTTGTAATTATGGACGAAAATGATTTTGTCATATTACCTGAGGATAACTATCCGTCTTCCGTTTTGTCCGACATGGAGAATTTCGGTGAAGACCTTCAGTTACCTGCCAGTCTGTTTTCTGTCAGTGCGAGTAACAGAAATAGTTCGGGCCTGCCATCAGATGTGGAGAAATTAGCAGAACCCGTCCCTGTACCAGCAAGCTATGGTAAAGGCATGTCAGCAGCACTTCGGGCCGTGGAATCCGGAAACCTGTCTCTGCGATCAGCAGCAAAAACGTATCACGTTCCATATGCTACGCTCTGGGAGAAGTTAAACGGCGTGCGAAGAGGAAAAAAGGGAGCTCATAAACGGAAATTTACTGATGAAGAAGAAAACTATATTGAGAAGCTGCTGTTGAAATGTGCTGAAAACGGCATACCACTGGACAAGAGCGCACTGCGACGAATTGTGCCACTCTTGGCAAAATCTAAAGGTCGGCAGTGCAAATTTATGTCAAAAACTATTTTAGTAATACAGTAATTCAATTATACATTTATACAGTGATTCGCAATTTGTAATAAATCGCCAGCACTTATTTGAGTTATTTTTGCGTATAATTTGTGTACTCAATACTTTAAGTTTTACAGTTACGCCTGAGAAATCAAAATTATTCACAGCGAAGTGGCATAAGAAATTCCTTGAGCGGCACCCTAATATATCTCGGCGCATTTCACATGGCGTTTCAAGAAAAAAAACGAAGGAATGGACAGTAGAAAATAGGGACGGATGGATACAGCGACTGTTTGCGCTGAACAACTTGGGACTGCTCAGTGATCCACGCGGCATCTGGAATTTTGACGAGTCAGCCTTTCAGGTTGCGGAAAAAGTGACAACGGTATACGCCAGGCGGGGTGTGAAAGATGTACTGTCATATTATGATGGCAATGACCGTGAGTTAATAACCGTTCTTGCGGGAGGCAATGCAGCCGGTGAAATTTTGCGGCCGCTAATTCTTTTCGACGGGAAAGTCGTTTTGGCTTCGCATTTCAACGAGACGAACGATATGTGTCATATCGGTTTCAATTCGTCTGGAATAATGGATAATGCGACCTTCGCTTCGTACGTCAGGGAAGAGGTGATCCCTCGGATGACAGCAGAAAAGGTGCGTAATAAAAGCTCCCGATTCATTCACATTGTAGATTAAGCGAAATGTTAGCTTAATCTTATCGTTGTTTTACTCACGTATTAGTGAATTTTTATTTAACCATTTTAGGTAAATTATAATTTAATAATATGGTTAACCATAATTTCTTTTACAGAACGTGATTTTTCTCGATGGACACAGTTCGCACATGTTTAATCTCGAATTTCTATCCGAATGTGTTAAATCGGAAAAGATATTACTGTCGTAATATTTCCTTGTGGTCAGACTGGAAAATTGCAACCTATGGATGTAGCAGTGTACGGACCTGTCAAGAAATACTGGCGGGATTACCTGCGGCATATGACTTTGTCCCCCGAGGAAGAGGTGCATTATGTTACTTGAAAGTTGTTTGCTATTTTTACTTGTTTTCGATAGTTTCAATATTTTATTGTCATGACTGGCACAGGTTATTAAATTTCGTCATTCAGCTTTACATCAGTAACATATACTTTCGTCTTAGGTGAACAAACGGAACTTCGCCAGTCACATTGTGAAAAAGTGGAACGACTTTAATATGTCGAAAAACATAGTTTCGGGATTTGGTTCTGCTGGAATATTTCTTTCAACCCGGATGCCGTTTTGTCAAGCTTATGTGGAACCAGTTTCAGCGACATCACCTTTGACGTGCCCGTTTCGGTAGCAAATGACTACGTGTCAGAACTGGAAATTGTGCGTCGTTCGCTTCTGAAAAATTCCGCTTTTAACCGAAGGCAAAATAGAGCGCATTATAGCATATGCCGTTGCTGAAGCAGAAGGTTTTAGTGCTCCTGTAGCGCCCGAGAAAGTTGCTGCGGACTGGCATCTTTCTTTGATGAAAGCACATGCCCCTCGCCAAAGGAAACTAAAGAGTCGCGCTTGCGCGGATGCAGGGCTCATTGCGACGGATAGTCAGGTTATTGAGGCCCTCGAAAAGCGAGAAGAAGCAAAACTGCAGGCCAAGAGTAAGCGCAGCAAGAAGACCAAGAGCGGCCTCAGTGATATTACGAACACGCCAACCAAGAAAACGTTTAGAATGGATAAAAAGTGAACATTATTTTGGCGCAGATTTATTGCTTTGAACGGTTGTGCTCGTGCAGGATTTCAGGAAATAATTATGCACTTTCGTTTAGTTTAGCACCAGTGGTCTCACGCAGACTTTTTGTGCGTTAAAAATGGCGGCCATAGCGATGTTATAAAGTTGTTGCCCTCGTGAGGTGGCTGGCCATCTTGCGTATGTGCAAGCACAGTGATTAAATTTACTGCCAACCTGGGTGTTTGGACGCGGTGCACACACGCGGGCACAGTGATCGGATTATGGTCGTGTGTGCGCCTTTGATCGGGCCAAGGTAGCTCCTCCTCGTACTTTAAAATAAAATTTTCATACTTTCCTCGAAATATAATTTACGAATTATACCTTCTACGAAATATACTTTCTACGAAATTTTTTAACACTTCTCCTAATTCTTATAATTCCTAAATTTTGAGATTTGTGTGATTCTTAAGAACCCTGTATATTTTGTATATTTCTTTTATTCTTAAGGGGAAATGGCCCGGTACATAGCGTCAAAAATGGGATACATACACTAAAACTTTCGCTTTCGCGCACTCTGAATCTCTTTTATGTAATAATTTACGTCATTCTAAAGCTAAATGATTTGTATACATTCTTCCGAAAACCGTCTGCGCTCGCAAAATCCGGTTGCCGAGATATGGCGTACTAAAATGAGCGAAAAGTTTAAATGCATTGTTGTGTACCAAAAGTCTGGTTGTTATCCGATCTTCTTGAAACTTTGTTATAAAAGACACATGGCTATAAAGTCGAAAGTGAACCAATATCAGATCCATAGCATTTTTTTCCGATTTTAAAATGAATTTCAAAAATTTTAAATTCAATGAACGCGAAATTGGTTCATTTTAGACTTTATGGTCATGTGTCTTTTATTGGGTTTTAGATTTCGTAGGTTAATAAAAATTTTTATCTTTCTTATTTTTTCGGCTTTCTAATTATTCTCCTAAATTAGTTCTTTATTAGGCATTAGCATCAAAATAACAAAAAAATACAAGCGCGGGGACATTATTTCACAGTTAAAATTTAAATACTTATTGAAAAAATCTCTATGTACAGAGTACTCGCTCGTTATATTGCAAGGTAATCAATGCGGCAGTAGCATTTCCCTTAACGGCAGCCAAACGGAATCGTTGCTTGATAAAAGCAGTAGAACGCACTTCCCCCGGTAGTTCACGATTTTTTCGGCCCATGAAATTAACCAGTTCGCTTAAAGAAGGACCGAAAACACTCAACGTTTCAACCACTACCAGCAGCCCGCTTGTACAAGGCCGGCCCAAGAATTTTAGACCGATGTAAGCGGGATATTTCCGAAACGTGAGTTTGAGCCATTCTAGGTGCTTACGCCAATGCATCCAGTGTAGAGTAAATGAAATCTATCCTTACTGTGCGCTGTTTTTTTTAAGTTCTTATTATTGTATCTAGATCTACTCCGTACCGACTGTAGTCGAATTTTGTTAGGGCTGCTTTGAAATCATGTAGTACTTTCTTCAAGAATTTAATACACATGTTTCTGTTAGCAAGTTGCAGAGGTCACATGACTTACATCGTTAAAGGGCTCTACAGATATTATACTGTTTAACATTTTTAAGCTTTATACTAAACAGACTTTGACAAACTAAATCTTGATTTTGCTGCTTGCAGTTTTAAACTTTTAATAGAAGAAAGGCCTGTCGAAAAATTGATAATGACGTAAAGGTAAAAAGTTCAAGCTTGTTCGGTAATTTCCTACGTAAAGGCACAGCTAGCGCGAAGTTTGCGCTTATAACGAGGGCAACTTCACTACGTTCATCAAATTGATTAAATGCGCTCTGCAGTTAGATTGTCACTTACTGCACCAACCATTTTCTAACTACTTTCCGCGAGGCAGTTACTATTATTCTCTTAAATTATATGGCGTGCAACAAGCCACCAGCCAGCGGAATGCATGCCAAATGCATGGGCCCGCGAGTCGGCCAAATGCAGGTTACGTGTTTAAAGAGTGT